TAAATTTTTTTTATCAAAATTAAATATACATACATGTAAAAATACAATACATTGAGAGACGTATAAAAAATATTTTTTAAATCGAATGAAAAAAAAAAACATAAAAGTACCCGTAATACAGTAAAACCATTAATCCTATTTAGTGAATTGCTCGTGAATTGCACAATATTGTCTAGTTGACAAGCCTCGGTCTGGAATTAAGCGTCAAATAAGGACATCGCTGCAGGCGCTTTTAATTTAAAATCACTATTATCCAGACTACAATAAGGGGTACTGATTAAAAGAAAAAAAAAAAAATAACACAAATTCACAGTACACATAAAGAATATTTACAAAAGATATTGTTTGGACTAAAAAATTAAAAATCTTATTTTCCTTTCCTAAAACTTTCTTTTTAAACTTTACCTAAAATTTCGTTATATTAGATAAGAGAACCATTTTATCAACAAAAATATATTTTATTTTATATATATTTTTTTTACACCAGTGAGGTGACAAACAAGCTTACGACCCACTTAATGGTAATCGGTTACTAGGTGCATTACGCGCATATTACAGACCCTGAAGCAATCTCTACCCCTTTTTTGAAGAACCCCATGCTGTATTCTCCTCTGAAAACCTTTATAGGGAGTTCATTCTATAACCTGAGCGTATGGGGGGAAAGGGATTGTTAGCAATGGAGTTTGACAGCCCTATTGCTAGCAATATGCCTTATTAGATCGACCTCCACATGGTTCCCCCTGGAAACCATTGTGAACGAATTCTTGTTGAGTTCGTCACGATGGGCTAACTGACCTGCTTCATACTCACCTATCATCCTTCACTGGGGCCCCACCGGTGTATACCGATAGCGCAGGTGGGATTACTATTCTATTATCAACCATAAAAAAAAACCTTCCTTTCCCGTGTGTGTCGTGAGAGGCGACTAAACGCAATGGTCGGGGGGGAAAGGGATTGTTAGTAATGGAGACTGAGAATCCCATTGCTAACAATATACCCAACCAGGTCGACCTCCACGCGGTTCCCCCTGGAAACTATCATGGTTAATTCCTGATGAATTCATCATGATGGGCTAACTGGCCTGTTTTCATTCTCATCTATCACCCTTCAATGGTACTCCGCCAGCGTATCCCGTTAGCGCAGGCGGGGTTACCATACCATTTTCACTCATCAAAAAAAAAAAAAACGCAATGGTCGAGGGATATGCAGCCGCGTCCCTCTTAAAAAGTTACCAAAGCTTAACTGCGATTGGTAACCTACCTACCAAGCGGGGCAACAACTGGCAAAATCCCTTAATAGAAGGAGACCTATTTTCAGTAATGGAAAGTTAACGGTTGTTATTTATATTGATTGTTGAGTTTTATGGGTATTATTTGACGCATATAAATACACATAATAATTACATCGTATCGCTCAGTTATTAAAACCTAGACAATTAATATTTTAATAAAAAAAAATGCAACACGTATTTTATTTATTTATTCATTAGTACAAATATGTGTACATGGCGGACTTAATGCTAAAAGCATTCTCTCCCAGTCAACCATAGGGAAGTGTCAGAATACTCGAATGCGGTACTACTAATTATTGATATACATACACACTAAAATTACATATATAAACGAATAAATATATATGAATAACAAATATACTTACACATATATGATATATACTATATTATACACGAATTTGGGAATAATATAAAGCACTTATTGCTCGGATAAAAATAAAAAGTGAGCGTGAACGCTTTTTTTGAAAGACGGTTTAGTCGGTAATCTCTTAATGGCATCAAGAAGCGCGTTTCGGAGTCGTGAAGAATGTAGGAGAAAAGAGTTTGAGGCGTAACCAGTACGAGAGGGGAAAGATAATTGGAGAGTATTATATTAATATATTATTTTCAACATGGAAGTAAAAATAAACTTTATCTATGGCAAAAATAATTATCAAAGTGTTTTCCTGAACTAAGTGTTATTTTGCGCAACCGCCAGTACTCGAAGACGTGTGTTATTTATTATTATTATTACCAGAAGTTCTACAACCTTCCATATTTCGGAGATTGGTGGCCTACCACCAATCTCCGACTGCCATTCCGTCCACCCACGTCTTGCGACTTCAGTTTCACCTCTACGGTAAATTAATAAATCGCTGATCGAAGCACAATGTTAGCCATTCAGTGCCCAAACTGCGAAAATGCGGAAATGATCGTTCGAAGTTTCTTCTAATATCTTCTAGTGTTGACAGTCGCACGGATATAAAGAGTAGCGAAATTAAACATAATAATTCTGTTCAAATAACCAGTTATCAAAATTACATTAACGTATATTAATTTACTCAAGCGAAATAATATGATTTGTTAAAAAAAATTATACATTTACATCGACAGAATAATTTTTCGTAGTAAAAGATTATTTGTAAACAATTTTCAAGAAAATATTATTTTATATTTAAAATTAAATATAATATAAATCCGATTTTTGAACGAAACAATCTAGACTGAACCGACATTTTCCGGTTGTATCCGGTAATTCCGTTCAAGGGCGGCCATTATGGAAATGGCGCGGAGGAGAGAAGGGAAAAATGTAACAGAAGTATGACAAAGGCACGATAAATAATTTTATGCTTTCATATAAGATACTGGTCAGTATTTTATATGAAAAACAAATATATAAGGGACTTATTCAATTAAAATAAAATTTATGTTAGTGATACTAACAACAGTAATAGTAAAGTAGTAGGAAAAGAGATTCCTAGTAATGGGATCTACCAAACTCATACTAACAATATACAGATCGACCTCCACGCGGTTTCCTCTGGAAACCATCCATCTATAGGATTTACTCCAGTATTAGTCTCCAGTTACAATTATAACCTACCACAGTAATCGTTCAATCGATTTTAAATAAAATTAATTAGACGGTTATTTATAAATTAAATTTTGTATACATATGTATATTATTTGCTGAAAAAAAGGATAATTTTTATCCCAATAAGATGCTGATTGCTGGGTTATATTGCAGCTATTTATATAACTTTTTTTTTTTATATAATTAAAATCTGTTATTGACTGTATTTATAAGAGACTTAGCATGTAGACTTAGATGTTTCAGGGTCGGCAACGCGCACGTAATACCTCTGGTATTGCAGGTGTTCATAGGCTACGGTAACTACTTACCGTCAGGTGGGCCGTATGCTTGTTTGCCACCTCAGTGGTATAAAAAATGTGAATTTTTAAAGTTTTAAGGGATTTTTTAAGAGCTGTGAATTTTTGTATTTAAATAAATAAATAAAATAAATTAATTGACCACTTTACTAAAAAATATTTAGTACAAAAGGCGGACTTATTGATATAATATATAACTTTAAAAATAATAATATAATAACATTCTCTCCCTGTCAACCTTTAGCAAAACAGAGAGGTAATTATGCGGGGAAAAAATTGAATATCGTTGTAGACAGACAGTTCTATATAGTTTTTTTTTTAATTGATTTAAGAGTTTCCTCTTGTCGGGGCATCTAATTCATACATTCTTTTCAGCCAGTTCTGTTTTAGGCCATATTTTTAACCTCCCTGTACAACATGTTATCTTAGTCTTTCTTCTATTTGTTAGTATGTACTTATTTCTCAGTCTTTCTTTTCCTCTTTTATCTTCTATTTTTTCTTCTAAAGCATATCTTTAAAATCGTCATGTCGTTTAAGTTATTCTATTACATAATATTGTTTTTTTGTTCCAAATTTATTTTACAATTATTAAAATTGGGGCAAACGATCATGCGGCTCATCTGATAGTAAGTGACTACCGCCGCCGATGGTCACCCACAACACCTACGGTATTGCAGGTGTGCTGCCTAGATTCTATATATACCATAGAATCTTTCTGAAGAGACGTCATTATTCTAAGTCGAATACAAAATCTAGATTAATAGGTCGCGCGATTCGATTCGGTCCCCGAAATAAGCTATCGTTATATTTGTATGTATTATTCATGAACTTACGCTTTGATGGGTTACAGGAATTAATCTATTGGATTTATTCAATAGAACCGCAGATACCAGATTGTCTAATATAATAATACATATATTTTCCGATTCTGTATTTAGTGTTAGTAGTAACGTAGTATGTAAAGAAACTGTGACAGCCTATTTGTATCACATTTTTTATGAATAAGCCATTTATCTATACCAAAGGGAGACTTTGTACAAAAGTCGATTGCTTGGATACCTCTTGGAAACAGTATACTCTGTTATGTCCATGGTACTGCTCATGTCTATAGGCGACGGTTACCACTTACTATCAGGTGGGCCATCAGCTTGTTTGCCATTCTAAGTTGTATAAAAAAAAATGTAAATTTATTGCCCAGTATATCGGAGAAATTATATTGCAAATCGTCACGAATTAACATACGAGTATAACATTTATTTATTACTAGTTTTTACACTTATTGAATATGTAAGTTACTAAATCATATGTATTTGATATTTTTACGTAATATATGTTTTGTATTTTATACAAGAAAAAAATATTAATTCACTCCTGCGCTAACTACCCACTTCTGGGGGGAAAGGGATTGCTAGTAATGAAGACTAAAAGTCCCATTGCTAGCAATATACCCAACCAGGTCGACCTCCCCACGGTTACCCCTGGAAACTATCACGGTTAATTTCTAATGAATTTATCATGATGGGCTAACTGGCCTGTTTTCATTCTCATCGATTAACCTTCACTGGTGCCCCGCCAGCGTATCCCGTTAGCGCAGGCGGGGTTAATATTCCATTTTCACTTATAAAAAAAAACTACCCACTTCTATTTATTTCCTATAACCAAAAGTTGTCTATAAGAAGCTGCCCTAGCGATGAGACTTTTTGTACTTTTATGTCCTATATTTTTATCTGTATTTTACTGTTACCAACTGTACTTTTTTAGAATTTTCTAATTATCATTGTATATTTTTGTTTTTGGTGCAATAAATAAATCCCTAACATATGTTTGTCCATTGTTACAGTTACCACCAAGATTGCTTCGGTGGACAATCACCGTTGTGCTGATCGTTGCCGTCATTGCACCCACATCACATTCTACATGTAAGTTTTTCACCAGAGGGAGGCTTTGTACAAAAGTCGATTGCTTGGGTACCTCTGTCCCATTCGTGTTTCAACCGTGAAGCAGTTGTGTTTGCATGGCTGTGTTTCGGTTTGAAGGGTGGGGATATGGCGTGAATTTACTGGGTACAAAAGGAATAACACCTGAGTCCTCAGGAATGGCAACGCATGGGGGGTATCATGGGCGAAACAGTATATTCTGTTATGTCCATGGTACTGCTCATGTCTATAGGCGACAGTTATCACTTTCCATCAGGTGGACCGTCAGCTTGTTTGCCATTTTAAGTTGTATAAAAAAAAGTGCTCAGTACCAGACTAGGAAGTACGTACCAGTAGAAGAATGGTACCACTGACCCATTCGTGTTTACCACTAAGCAGCTGACCTAGCATAGCTCGATTTGAAGAATAGGATATGGCTATAAAATTACACGGTACAAATATATAATGAGGCTTCAAGACTGTTCTGATTTTAACCGACTTCAAAAGAAGTAAGTTCTCTCAACTCAGTTGTTTTTATGTTTTATGTTTGTTATATCACAACTTTGTCAGTCGTAAACCGATTTGGAATTTTTTTTTTAATCTAAAAGGATATAGTTACGATTTGGTCCCATAGAAATTTTATCAAAATCCGTTTATTAGTTTGGTTTTAAAATTAAAATGTGTGGTTTTGCTACAACTAAAGTGAAATAAATTTAATTAATTCCAAATTGCATAGTAACGCTTTTATAAGTACTTCATTATTCCTAGTGACAAAGTGATTGAAACAAAAAGTATATATATGATATATATTATATAACTTAGAACGGCAAACATGCTGACGGCCCACCTGATAGAAAGTGTTAACCATCGCCTATAGACATGAACAGTACTATGGACATAACAGAGTATACTGTTTCGCCCATGATACCGCCCATGCGTTGCCATTCCTGAGGACTCAGGTGTTATTTCTCTGTACCCAGTAAATTCACGCCCTATCCCACCCTTGGTGATATACCTTAATTGGGTAGCAATTGAAGGTACTTTTCTACCTTAAAAATAGTTTCAGCTTTGTTCCACGTACAATAGAATCAGTATTTACAGGTTTTCATTTTTTATTGATCAAAATAGATACTTTCATTCAAATATGGATCTAATATTACAAGCTGGGGGGAAAGGGATTGTTAGTAATGGAGACTAAGAATCCCTTTGCTAGCAATACACCCAACCAGGTCGACCTCCTCGCGGTTCCCCCTGGAAACTATTATGGTTAATTCCTGATGAATTAATTCATCATGATAGGCTAACTGGCCTGTTTTCATTCTCATCTATCACCCTTTACTGATGCTCCGCCAGCGTATCCCATTAGCGCAGGCGGGGTTACTATACCAATTTCACCCAACAAAGAAAAAAATACTACAAGTTATAATGGGGAGTATAGAGAATATAGAGATTTTCTATACAGAAAGAGAGAGACAGAGAATAGAGAGAGAAAAATACGAGTGCATGTCCGCGGTGCAGCATAACAAAAAGGCCATAACTCAGTGTATAACTTTACTGGACAAAACATTAGTTTTCTGTTACAACCTGAAAGCAGAAACGGAATGCATTTACTAAGTCGTATATCAAAACAGTTGTCATTTATGCATATGAAAATATGGGTTTTAAAAATACAGTACATAATTTATTATTTTATTTAATGCAACTCGGGATGGTAAACAATCTGACGACCCACCTGATGAAAGTGGTAACCGTCGTCGTGTATATATATATATACCTGGTAATTTCACTCCTATATACCATATTTCCAATAGAAATAAAAAATGGGAACAGAGCTACCTATGCACATATATAGATATACACATAAACAAAACTTTTAATTAGATTTTAGGTACATTAATAAATAGTAGCTATATTTCATAAAATTGTATCACATCTGTTGTTGCTATGTGGTCCCGGCGTAGAATTAGCCACTCCATACTTTCCAGTGGGTATCGTAAGACACAACTAAGAAATTTTCATGGTCGACGGATAGGCAGCAACGTTTCTTTTGAAACATAATCAAAAGTCTAACTGCGATTATCAACTGACCGTTTACCATCAGACGGACTGTATGTTTATTTGCCACCTTTGTGGTAAAAAAAAATTTTAAAATACTAATTATTAAGCCTTTACAATTAAATATAGTCACTTCATAACTATCCAAAGATATCACATTCATCCAAAATACAGTCAAATTAAAAAAAGCAATGTATTCTTTTTGAGGCAACATTCAAATATTGAAGCATGTATATATATCAATGTTGCCAACATTGCAATTGCTACAATAATAAATTATGGGATACTTCAACTCCAAAAACGCATGACGCTTGTCAGCCGCCTGTCGTAGTCTGCTGAAATACAGCTTGATTCGTGTTTAGCGACAGGCCCGATATGTATGACCCACCCATCCAAACAATATATTGCTGATAATCCGACAATTTATTTCCCCGAAAAAAAAGCGAGCACGTTGCGGAAAAGAATGGAAATCTTAATGTAGATAAGGCTTGAAAAACTGTACTAATATTCGTGCTCCCATTATGAATGATAAATTGTGTTTATTTCTATGTTACCATTTAGTGACTTCATGACGCGGTTAATCGTTATTAATTAATAACATTTTTTAACGTAATTTGACATACATGTATGTTCTTTCTTTTATATATATATATATATATATATATATAAAAAAAAGAAAGAACGAATTGACGTATAAGTAGATTGAAAAAACTGGACTAGTACTTCGGGTATGATCGGCTGGTCTCCACAGTCGTGTACATACAGTGCTTATAGCTTCAACTCGACGTCTTCAGAATTATAAAAGTGATAGATAAATACTTTTTATTGTTTTCTCCAAAAGATTACAATAGTAAACTTATTATAAATATAAACAATTACAAGAAATAATCACAATGAGAAAACAATGGGCGACCTTATCGCTAAGAACGATCTCTTCCAGCCAACCCTTGGATGGAGAGGAGTAATTATAAACAATTTGGTGAGAGGCACGATGAAAAATTCTGTTCGTTCTAAATATGGAGATGTGATACAATAACAATCCTTATGAAAGGCGCCTCAACGCTTCTACTATTCGCCAGGAAATTTAGTACAAGTATAACCCAAATATTTAGACTAGAAGGTTTTTCTGACTTTTATTGAAATAACTTTATTTATCTAAAGAAAATATGATACAAAAGGCGGACTTAATGCTAGTAGCTTTCTCTATCAGTCAAACTTCAGGATGAACAGTGATTCACGCACGTTTTTCCTAGAGACTACAATATCCCATTCGTGTCTCAACCGTGAAGCAGTTGTGTTTGCATGGCTGTGTTTCAGTTTAAAAGACGGCATATGGCGTTAATTTACTGGGTACAGAGGAATAACACCTGAGTCCTCAGGAATGGCAACCCATTGGGGGTATCATGGGCGAAACAGTATACTCTGTTATATCTATGGTACTGCTCATGTCTATAGGCGACGGTTACCACTTTCCATCAGGTGAAACGTGACATCTTTAGTGTTGCACGCGTCCATAGATTACAGTGACCGTTTATCATCAGACGAGCTGTATGCTTATAAACCACCTTGGTGGTATAACAAAAAGATAAAAAATTACATAAATAATTGTTTAGTGTGACCAATTATTATAACTAGATATTATATTTACTTCTATCCCATTCTATCGGTCCAATGCGTGATATAAACTTAAGGATAATAGAAGAAGAACCAAAGGGAACGATGATGTATTAATTCCGTTAGCAAAAAACGTGACTGCGGCGAAAAGAATGGGTGTCTTAATATAGATAAGGCTTCAAGATAATACATATTCGGTTTTATCACTCAGTCCTCTACGTAATAGTAAAAGAACTAAAGTATATTTTCAAAATTTTGCTGTATTTTATTTCACTAATATAGCCTTTTGTACTACACTAGACTTATCGAAAATTGTTCAACAAATCCTGTAATATTGGCGCAATAAAGTGTTAAATAAATAAACATACATATTGTCAGCCGTTAACTGTCCACTACTGATAGGCTTCTCCCATAAGCCAGGGGTTTGCCAATAGTCGCCACGCTTGGCATGCGGGTTGACAACTGCATTTAGACTTTGGTTATGTTTTAAGAGATACGCTGCTGCCTATCCCCCGATCATTAAGTTCCTTTAGTCGCCTCTTACGACACCTACAGGAAAGGAATACAACTACCTTCTTTTATATTTTTATATTACATTTTTATATGATATTCTGAAATATAAAAACAAAATACGGAAAAGACGAAAACTGAAAGTGGTTTAATTCCTACATATAGCCTACATATATGAGTAAACATGAGTAAACTGTCATCCTTGTAATTTGTTTATTTGTCGGGTTAACATATTTATTTCTTTAGATATATAAAAATTTATAACTTTATTTTTTACGTATACACGTTGGTAGTATTTATATACTTATTTATTTGTTTAGGTGTTTATATGCATGTGTGTGTGTGTGTGTATGTGTATGCATATATATATATATATATATATATATATATATATATATATATATATATATATATATATATATATATATATATATATAGTGAGTAGGGATATATATTTACATTATTACATGTATTATATCTCCATATTTAGAAATAATAGGATCTTCATCGTGCCTCCAATCAAACTGTTTATAATTACTCCTTTCCATCCAAAGGTTGCCTGGAAGAGATCGCTTTTAGCGCTAAGGTCGTCCATTGTTTTCTTATTGTGATTATTTCTTGTAATTTTTTATATCTAGAAAAAGTTTACTATTTTAATCTTTTGGAGGAAACAATAAAGAGTATCTATCTATCTATTTATAGCCAGTCTGATGTTAAACAGTTACCATAGACTATGGATGCCAATAACCCCAGGGGTGTCATATACCGTTGCCGACCCTAAAGATTTTTCCGAAGGTTCCCTTACTGCAGTCTCAAGGGAAAAT